TCTTATCAGCCACATAGATTTTTTCCTATAGCTACCTAATTTATTCCATCTTTTTTTCCTAGCACAATCACAGAAAGTTCCCATACATCTTCCAACATTCCAGCCTTGTGCACCTTTTGTTATGATAGTGCCATATTTAATTTTCTGAGTAGTCACGCTAGACCACATTTTTTTCCTTAACCAGCAAGGCAAAGGCTCCATCCATACAGGGAACAAGAGAACCAATCCCATGCTTCCCAAAGTCCCTTGATAAGGGAGTAACTACTGAGAAATAAAGAGAAACTATTTGTGTGAAACAGGAAGTCTCCAGATGCATATAACAATTTTTAAAAAGCCCCAAGGAAGCAAAATCCCCAAAGCAAAACACAGGTCTGAACAAGCACAACAGTACAACAGCTGTTGAAAAATAAAGCTTGGAAAGTAGAATTTGGGGTAAGGGATAGGCAGATTATGATGCCATCTGAACATCTGACAGTTTTTCCCAGTCTGAAGCCCTCAGATGCTCTTGCATGATCCTAAATTTTAGACTTAATGGAAATGCACTGAGCACATGCGAATATCATCAGATTGTGAAGCTCTCTATCTTATTAGAGTCTCTGCAGGGAAACGGGATGGATTCACTGGCTGACTCAGGGCTATAAAAACATTCAGGCAAAGACCAATCTTAACTAGGAGATGCTAATGCCTTTCAACATTTTCTTGACTATTTTAGCTTTGAGCACTCTTTAGTCATTCTTGCATTACAATGATCTCTTATTCTGGTCTGTATCACATTAAATGATACATTAAATGTCCTCTCCCACAATCAGAGGTATATTGTTATTTATTTTTATTTTCTATTTTCTTAAATTGTGTGTGTGTGTGTGTGGCTTTGAGTCTCATTATAAGTCATTATTGACTCCTGGAGACTATCATAGACAGCTTCCTAGGGCTGAGTGACTGGCCCTAAGGTGGAATCAGAACTGGCCATCTCCCAGTTTCCAGCTGGTGCCTTAATCATTACACCAAATTAGTGCAAAAAATTGCACTTGTTCATCTTAACAATTTGTTTAGTTTAGTACTAAATAAGCGATGTTTCATTAGATTCCTGAAGTATAGCTCTATGATACCTCCTAAAGATGTTACTGAATTGTAACTTAATAGAAAGAAGGGTAAAATGATTAAATAAAGGATTAGAGGATAATAATATGATTATCTATACTAATTATTTCAATTCTGTTCCAATGTAAATAAATTGGAATCTAAGTTTTGTCTGAGGTCCACCCATTATTTTTGGTGCAATGCAATCAAACATCAAGTATCAGTCTTGAAAATTAAAACCTTAGTTCCAAATCAGAGATCTGCTGTTCCTTTTCCCCCCTCCTCTATAATAATATGGAGGAAACTGAAGTAATCATTTATGATGACATCTGAAATAAGAATTGTGATTAATTCAGCTATAGTGTTCTTCCCTGTTTGACATCTTTTATATCTTGGACTATAACTTTTCTAAGCAGCAACAGAAGGGGACTAGCTGAAGATTTTTAAAAACTAAATGTAATTGGTTTGGTTCCATATAAAAACCACAAGATGCAATTGTCTTAAAACAACAGAAGAGAGGTTTGTGTAACAGTAACTGATAGGTTAGCATTATATAATCTCCCCCCCCAAGTAATTTATTCTTTATTTTTCAAATAAGTAGACTAATGCTCATAAGTACAATTTCCAGAAGCTGACAAGGTGCAAAAGCCTTAATCATACTTAATCATAAGTGAGAATAAACATTTTAAAATGTGATTCCACAATGCACATTTGAGCCTAATAGGTGTCCCTCTTTAAGTGATATATGAAGGTGCTGTTGGTAAATAAATCAGATAGGTTTTACATTTCTATCAGTGATGAACTCAGGAAATGTCAGTTAGATACATGAAAATATATATTTTTTAAGAAGTCACCTCATTTAACAGATACTTTAATATTTTTCTTAACCCATATTATTGGAAGTACTTTCATCAGCCTTGCTACTGGTGTCTGTAACCAGCATACTTCTTTTCTTCAAGTATCTTCCCACCCCACCTCATTCCCAAACATGCACAGACACAGAGTAACATTGTGAATGTTTAAAAAGGAAGTCATGTAAAAGCATATTACGTGATAACTGATGCAGTATGTAAACTCTCATGCTGACTAATATCATATAGTATGTTAACAAATATTTCTTTCCTCCCAAAATTTTCTGGAGTTTGGAGTGAGTGCCAGAAATTTGAAATCGTAACTTAAAATAATTTTAATCTTACCAATTGCATTATAATAATAAACTGTTACATCATCTTCAATTCATCCAATTTTCAAATACTAATACTAACATATAATATCTATATCCCACTTTGGAACAGGATTACATTATTTTACATATTTTCTGGGAAAATAAATAAAAATGAAAAATAATAATTTAAAGGTTGTATTTTCCCCACATATACTGTTCAAGGACAGAATCCTTTTATTTACACAGACTTTTTTTTACAAGGAGTCCCAAATTAAATCTATATTTTCTGTCAGTTGAAATCCCTTATCCTTTTGGCACAATTTTCATCCTCTTGTGATAGCTCTTTCTCTAATACTTTCTGTAGTAGTGGAGTATTTAATAACTACAGCTACACTTATTTTCTTATTTAAGACATAAGAAGGAAAAGGAGCAGGAGGAAGAGGAGTTGGATCAGATGAAAAACATCCTCAAGCTCAGGTTCCAATTACCTTTAGATAATTCAAGGGAATCCATAGCAGCTCATCCTTTTGCTTAATTTTGATTCTAGAACCCATTTTGCTGTTGGTTATGGTCCCCTGCAGTATTTCATCCATTATAGCTGTTAATAGAGTTGTCATCAGTGAGCTTTTCTATACTTTCTCCAAACTACCCAAACTGTGGCCTTTATTGCAAGATAGCAAATTAATCCTTTCATTAAGGTACTATATAAAGGAGTTCTATTTTTTTCACTCTGCAATTTGTTTTGTTTGCAGTAATCCATTAACCTTTTTAACTTACCTTTTCTTTTTAACCTAAAAAATGAATGGGTGTTGTTCCAAACACACATTCTTTGAGATGCTCTATTAAAAGCCTTTCCTGGAACAAAGCAAGGCTATACATCATCACACATCAAATGGCACAGGATAATGGCAGCATAAGTAAGGGTTGTGAAGGAAATGCACATTTTGTATATCAATCTGTCCCAATGTAGGTTGATAATGACAAGTGATGTTCAACACATCTGGAAGGCAAAGAATTTAGGGTGCTGAAAACCCCATATTTTCTGCCCTTTTTAAATGTTTCTGTTCCCCCAATTAAACCTTGTCCTGTACTGGTTATCTTGTCTAGCTGCCCATTTACAGGGGTTCTTAAAGGTTTGTGAACCAATTTGAATTTTCAATAGTTCTGTATAAATATGATCTAAAATATGATCCAAATTCTGAAACCAGTTAAATAGAACCTTATTAAATGAGTAAAAAATATACTTGTTCACTTGTCAAGGAAAATGATATAAAATACGTATCACATGTTCAGTCATATTTAGGCAGAAATATTGAACATTCAAAAGCACCAATGTATCTTCAGACAGGACAATCCGTGCTAATGAATGACAAGTATTTTTCTAGTGCTGTTTTGAAAACTTCCACTAAACTATAATTGTATAACCAATATTTAAACTTTAAACTGAAAAGGTGATTTTCTGTCTCAAATGTAAGTAAAATTTATATTTCTGGTGTTTGAGTTAATTTTTCTTATTACAGTCCCTAAAATGAACTCAAAATTGCTGAGGACTCGTGATTACATTAAGACTTGGAATGAAGGACCTTTGTCAAAATGTACGTATGGCTCACATCCCTACCAGGACAGGATTCCCATAAGGTGTGTAGACAGGGGCAACAAGTAATCCAGAACCTATCATTTTAAATTTTTCACATAGCTTTTGGTTATCTGAGATGGTATTAGTGACATTAGGCTGACTGAAGTGCTAGCACTGTTCAAGAGTGTTGAATAGTTATGCTGAGTCTGCATAAGGCCAGCCAGAATTCCAGCTAATGCCACCAGTTGGGACTCTCTCTAGAATTTTGGTGTTTTCAATGATGCAGTAGGAATTTTAAATAGAAAGTGTACAGATGTGCAACTTGCATTGTCTGTTAGTACCAAGGATGAGATGTACAGAACATCAAACCTCTAACTCCTGGAGTTTGTATAAAAATCACCAATCTTCATTTTTAAAGATTTGCCAATGTGTTATAAGAAATAGTTTCTTATTTTAATCTCATTTGACTAAGATTATTCAGGAAGTAAGAACAGCTATCCCTGGAAGAGTTACTGTTTCTCAGAGTAAATGGGCAAATATCCCCCTCCTCCCACAGAACACATAGTTTCTAATGGAAGCTGTGGATAAGGTTTTGAAGACTATAAAGTAGCCTTGATACGCAAAGTGGCTATAAATGAACTGGAAAAGTTACAGGTAGTCCACAACTTATAACAATTGAGCCCAGAACTTTCGTTGTAAGCTGTTGAGGTCACTAAATGGGCCACATGTGACCTAATGTGATCTATGGTCACCAGGCTATCATCATGGTGGCTAAGCAAACCATGTGGTCAAATACAGGATATCCGATGGGAAGTTTCTGCTGGAAAAGAGCAAAAAGAAAACCTTGCAAATTGTGGTCAGGTGACTCGGGACACAACAATCAGTGAGTTGCCAAGTGCCTGAAATGAAGTCATTTTGACCACATAAGGTGTTTGTATGCAGCAGTCGTAACTTACTTATACTATTTATGAGGACGGATTGTAAACTTTGAGTACAACTTTGAATGGTAGCTATATGACCGATTGTTAGCTTGTCAGTAGGTAAGAGTATCAAGAGCAAACATCAGATGGGAAAGGGCTGCACCTTAGAGGTAATAATCATAATAACAATTTATTAAACCTGTATGTACAAGTGTTTTAACATGGGTAATTTCAAGACAAACTCACCCCAATTGCTTTTGGGTACTTTAGCATCCTTGCATCCTCCATTCACAAATGTGCATTGCATAGTAAAACATAGTCTCAGTCTTATTCAACAATATTTTTATTAAAATATTGTTATACCAAGTGGAATGCTACAGCAATCTCGGTATAGGGCGGCATAAGAAACAGTCAGGTTTACATTTAAATATTTAAGATAACTTAAAATGCACCAAAAACAAAACAAAAACACCCCTCACTGTCTGGCAGGAAAAAAAAGTTCACAGCACAAAAATATTTTAAAAGGAATACCAAATATTAATATGAAATATATTAAGCTGTGCTTCTCTCTCATAACTCTTTGTTTGCTGTTTTTCACTTTGTAAACAACACACAATAGCCACATACCGTTTTTACACATTTATGGAGGGATTTTTTTCCTTTTTTCCAATGCAGTTGTCCAGCAAATGCATATGTTTAACTAGGAAGCAGAGGAGGGGATGAAAGTGTATGATGGCGAAATCAAACAAAAGGTTTGACGGAGTTAAGTAATGCACTCATTTGAGAGTTGACTACTGTCAGAAGCCAGCTGTCAGTAGGTAGGAGAGAGCAAAGAAGGCTGCTGAATGCAGATTCTGGAGTGATTCCAAAGAAAAGAAAGGATGTGCCTTTAACAAATATTTTCTCCAGATTCTTTTGAAAAACACAAATTTGGGACACAATGTTGTTTTCCATCCCCATGTTCAAACACACATCATTCCCACAAATGCCCTTTAATTAATTATAAAATTATCACTTTCAGCCACTTCAAAACACCACCAATTTAACCCAAACTTCTGCACTCACACTCTGCCTTGTCTCTCAATACAGTTTTGATTCACTTTTCCATTTTTTTACAAATAGAATAACATCCATTCTTATTAATAAGAGATCCAGTTGTAATCTTGCTTTAGACCCAAATGGAATTCTCCATCAAAGCCCTTCATCCCCCATACAGCTGTGCTGATTTACACCACACAGAGATGTATCCAGCTTAGAAGAGGATAATTTGGCAATGGCAGGATAGAAACAGAAACAACTGGTTCCTGGCTGCCGCTCAAACAAAGACTAGGGAAATTCCAGTCTAAAGCATCATGGGAAATGGCTTCAAAGGAAAGGGAATCTGAAGGACTGCAAAGGCGGATATTTAACTCACGACAAACAGGATATGAAATGGAAGAAAAAAGGGGGAAAAAGCAAATATTGAAGAAATCTGACAACAAAACAAAGGGGAAAAATAGTTCTGTGATATGAAGCAGATCTACTGCAAATATTAGAACAGAACAGAAAGAGCCACAACAGAGGGACTGTGGCTTATAGAAGATATTTACAAAATAGCGGCATTGTTTTTGTGATTCCCCCTTCCCCTCAAGATCTATGATAGGTCGTTTTCCAGATCATCACTTGGACGTCCCAATATTTGCAGCAGTTCCTCTGCTTCTGAACTGAACAGTGAACAGAGTTGGGAGAAGAGTACGGCAAATTGATTCTAGCCATACCAGCACCAGACACCCCTGCTTTTAGTTTACACCTCAGGTTCGGGCATCTGCCAAAAGCCTTGTGTATTATGTATATCACCTCTTCCAGTGCCAAACCTCAACATGCCACCACATCTAGGGCCTTACCCAGGCAGCATAAAAATCCCACTTGACTTCCCAGTTGTATTCCCATCTTTTGGGAAAAACCAGCAGCAGAGGAAAAAGTGGAACAGCTGCCTTGATGTAAGCATTAACCTCAACTCATAGCCCCTGAGTTGTTGTTCGGGGTACTGCAGAATAATTTTCCTAGGAGGCACTATCCAAACTTGGGTATCTCCCACAGTTGGAGATTCTCATCCTCAAATCAACTATCTGGTTGCTGATCTCTTCCAGCTCGCCTTGTAAAGTCTTTAGTACTGCTTTCCACAGAGCATTCTAATTGGTGAAGGGCTCCTCAGGCTGTGTGCTTGGTCCGCTACTGTCTCCTGAGAAGGCAGAAATCCACTAAGGCAGAAAAGAGCACCTGGGTCTGGTCCATAGAGGAGCTCCTGCACCTCAGATGAGAATCTCCACCATGTCTGACAGGTCAAAAATTTTAGCAGCTGGCAACATCTCTGCAAAGAAAAACAAGCCATGTTACTACAGACATTTGGAGGAAATACAAAGCTGCAAGCTACATTTGGCTTAGGTACAAGACAAACCACTTGTAGCCCTAGTGTTTGTCATAGCAAAACTTTTCATTTTGATGCCACAAGCTAAACTTAAATCAGTCTTACAGACAAGATTTGAAAAGTAGATTTTGTAGCTGTAACAATCCCCATGGCTGCAGTTATAAACTGGATTAAATTATGTTGCTTATCCATGAATATCAAATTCATATATCCTAAGCCACAATTCATGACCTGCAAATCAGTGTTGGGAGTTCAGACATTACACTAATCAAAACCTGAGTTGGCTGAAAGATGGGCGGCTATATAAATGTTTTTAATAAACAATAAAACCAAGAAAATCTTAAGTGTTCTGCCTAATATAGTATATGAAGCAGACATATGGGAAATACATCAAAACCTGATTGAAAACTCCTTGATCACTGATAAAATATGCAAAATATTAATCAATTCCGAAGACTACGTTATTTATTAGGGACATGGATTGGAGAAGGCTGATCAAATCTAGTTCTCTGTATAAATTCTGAATATAATTTTATGCTTATAAGAAACTCCTCTTAGGGTCATGGCTTTGGTTTAAGCTAAGGTTCAGCCCTGGTAATCACTATCAGCAACTGCTGTTTTAAACAGTGGGTAAGTAGACACTTCTGGAATTTACCGTTGAAGAAAATATGACAGTGAATACAGAGAATTTAAACACCCATTTATTATTTAATGTCTGTCTCTTGCTCTTCCTACATCAGCCCCACCTACTCCTCCAGGATAAGCCTATGCTGCATTGCATGAAACTCATGATTAGTCACTATGGGAAGAATCTTAGTCCTGGTATTTGGCCTGCTGCGGCAGCACTGTGTTCACCTCTTAGTTATGTAAACCCTCACAGGCATCTCTGGCAGAGAAGGCAGGTCACTGGGTATACTATGAATATGGCTACTAGGAAGTCTAAAAGAGAAGGTCAAGCTCCATGGGTTCACTCATCAACTGGTCCTTACCTAGGGAACTTGCTGCACCACTGTTTTTTTCAACATGGAACCTGGACTCGTCACATGGAACGTTTGTGGGAAGACCTTCAGTCTGTGTACTTCCATCTTTGCTGCCATGTTTGGTGTGGAAGGGGATACAAGTTGATGGGACAGTTGATTCTGCTGAGGCCTTGAGTGCTGAAGAACCAAAAAAAATTTCTAGATCAGTGTATCAAATTAATATTGTTAAGGGTTCACATATTGCAAACTACGGTTTGCCTACTTTCTGAACAGAATAACTGATAATCTTGTCATAAACCATGCAAGCCACATCCATACAAACCATTTAAGCTTATGTATAATGTATGAAGTCAGCCATCAAGTAATCAGTAATATTTACGGATAGCCCTTAATTACCAACAGGAAAATTGCACTCTTTTATATTTTCTCCTATTTATTTCTAACATGAACATCTACAAGGAAATAATTAAAAAGATATCCTGCTAAACTGTTATAGATATGTATTCAGCCTCTCAAAGTAGGCTACATGGATGGAAATTCCACAGTGAGGCTTCTTAATGACCAAGAGAAGGCAAAGAATTGTAGATAACCAATTCATGACTCTAATTAATGGCCAATGGCCTCAGAGAATAACGCAAACTGGAAGTCTAGGAATGTGACATTTGGAATACTCTTGCAAGGAACTTTCCTAAAACTAGTTTGTCTTCACTATACTGTTTTATTGGATCTGCCAATCGTAGTTTGCGCTAACTCTGTTGGTCTGATAGCATGTTACATTTTTGTTATCTCACACAGTTTCACTTCCCTGATCTTGTCAACCACAGATTTGGAAAATCTGAAGTGAGCCAAAATCACTTGGTAAAAGCGTAAGGGTATGGGAATGGAAAAACAACACAAATACTGTAAATACAAAACCAGCATGTATCTTAAAATGCCTAAGTGGAATCATTGAACGTGCAATCTAAATACATGTAACTATAGAATCCTACCCTTGTTCTCTGGATTGCTCTGGGAATCACTTTCACTGGCAGAGTTTCCTGGCCAACATTGCATGCCAGAAGCTGCAAACACTGATGGCACTGATTTTGCAGGTCGTAGGGAGCCCTGATGAGCCTTGTTGGGGTCCTTCCGAGAGCGCTGTTGCAGGACCTTGATGACTGCATCCTTCTCAAGGATTTGGGCATGAAGTTCTTTTAACCTGGGAAAGAAAATGAACAATAAGGAAGGAAACCACCAGCACCACATCACAATATGTAGGAAGCACCCATCAGAATGTTAAAGTCTAGCAGTTCAATAAAGCCTTTCTTCCAAGCACCCCTTAACCCGTGCCCTCCTGTTGCATTTTGCAAAAAAGAAACTGCTATTAATCTGCTCTCTTTGGCATGTTTTGAATGTTGTTTGGTAAGAGAGCCATTTTTTAAAAATCAGTGCAGGATTAAAAAGGATAAATGTCTTTCTTTCTGCTGGGCCTAAGCCTCTTGGAACTTTCTCTAACAAGACAAACCTGTTTTCCATCTCCTGATGCTTGTGGTTTGCAAGCAAAAGGTCTTCGTCAAAGCTGCTGTTGGGAGAATGGCGCGGGGAGTGGTTGATAATGGTGGTGTCCCGTTGTGCAGCAGCTGTGGCAGCAGCATCCATAGCAAACTGTCGCATAGTACACTCCTCCAGGTACTTTTGCTCCCATTTGGTCATGTCAGCCTCCAGGGCCAAGATTTTCTCTTCCCTTTCTCTCAGCTGTTCAGACAGTATGTGGGCATTCAACTCAGAGGATCCTCCACCTGGGGCTCCCATCTGCCTCTGGAGTAGCAAAGCAAAAGAGAGAGATGCATTTAATACGTGTTTGGTGCTTCAACAAAAGCAGTCAATTCCAGCATTTAACATAGTAGGCCCAGACCAAGATGAGGCACATGTTTGTTTATGGCATCTCCCTTGTACTCCACTATAGCCTACCTGTAAAAATCAGGCTTAAAAAAATTGGGAAGTCTGGAGTCAGCTATTTTTTTGGCCTATAAGAATCTAATGGTGTTTCCACATAGCAAATTACTTCTGCCTAATTCAAAGCTTTTCTTTCCAGAAGTAAAATTGACTAGAATCAACCACAGATCTGCTAGATCATAAATTGCCTTCTGCTCCACCTTGGCCCAAGGATATAGAGCTAGAATGGAAGTAGTTTTGGAACTCCAGATTAAAAGAAATATGCAAGAATTAAGCATATGTTCTAGGGAGTTTTTCTCCAGGAGATTCAGTATATACCTTATATTTCCCATCACAGTTTGAAGGGACTCAACGTTTTCCTGGATTGGCTCACATTTGGATCATCTGAATCTAGTAAAAAGTTGCTTATCTGAAAAGTGTTTTAATTTTTTTTAAAAAATACAGATTTGATTTTACACCCAGTCACTGTTTTCATTTAATTTCCTGCTCAAATAGGAGTTATTCTTGATAATATGCATGATTTCCTTTTATAAAATCTTAACATTTTATGATTAACAAAATTTCAATAAATGTTAATTAAAAAGATCAACTGATAAACAGATTGCTAACTATTGCCAAATAAATTATTCAACTTCCACTTGTAGAGTACCGTAATAGCCTTGGTATACTTGCATCTACAAATTCTTAGATCATTACATTGATTAGTTGTGTAAAAAGACAGAAGAGGAAGTATATCTTCCATAATGTTGTTTAGACTTGTTCCACAAACATTCTTCTATTATTGGGCTTGAGGTAATACTACGTGAGCATTCTAGAGATACATTCTTCCTACATTAATGGACAGTAAAATCACTGGGTCTTTAGAAAGGAGATAACATAGGACAAAAATCCATCAGTATGTGATTACTCCAAACTTTCAAAACTGCTTTCCAAACTTAGTAACCAGAATATTCTTTATCCTTTTTTGCCATTATTACTTGGTTCTTCTCTTACCTGCTGAGCCCGCAGTATCTTCAGCTCCTGCTCTAAGCGGGTCCGGAGACGCAGTTCCAGTTGCTCACGCTTTTCACACGCAGCCTGGAGCTGGCCCAGGGCCTGTTGCAGCCGTTCTACTTTCTCTACATACGCTCGTTTCTTCTGCAGCTCATCTTCCATTTTAACAGTGCGGGCTTGAGCACTGCTCAGAGCCTGCTCCAACAGTTCAGCCCGCCGACGTTGATCTTCATGAGTGCCATGTAAACGTGCAATTTCCCGCTGTAACTTTTCCCTTTCTTGCTGATATTCATAGTCTGAAGACAAAACAAAGAGGAAGTTTGGCATAAATCACAGCTATGTACTCTTTGTAGTCAAGGGAAAGCCATATTTCTGACAGAGTATCCTTAAAGATAATTTTAACTGTAACACACTAAGTCCAGTTCCCAAGTTTTTAGATGAGAAATGGGTATTGCCTTCATTTTCTATAATCTGTTGATTATTTAAATAATTCCACGACAGGATTATACAGGGCTCACACCTAGGAAACTATCAGACTCGAGGAAAAATCACGCACCATTGTGCCATAGTACTTTGATCTTACACAATGTTCCTATTATTTTTTTAGCTCATGCTTCATGCCATGGTTTTCCATGTGATCATAACTGGGGCCCAACAAGGTAAGATGAAGAATTTGTGGGAAGTTGAAAACCATGCTTATATAGAACAGATTCAAGAATTCTGTACCTTTTCAGATGATATTGGATTACAATTTGCATCATCCTGAATCATTGGTCATATTGGCTAGCAATAACAGGTATTGGAATATGGCAATATATGAAAGCCACAGATTCTCTGCCATTGTTGTAGAGGAATATATTTTATGCCCTACATATCTAGTAATCTATGTCATTTCCTTCCTCTTACCCTATCCTACACCAAAGGTTAGGGAAGCATGACTATCTCTAGCAATTTCATTCATGAGTCTGCAGAGGGCACCAAACAGCTTAACCCCAGTCTCAGAAAGACTCTAGCATTATTTGTAAGTTTTTCTCATCTTCAAGAGACCAAAGTGTGGTGGCCAAACTGCCACAATAATTATATGTGGAAACTAAATGATAAGGACATGATGCATACTCTACCACTTAGTCATGATTTGCTGAAACGATCAAGAGGTAGAGCCATTCTAATGAAGCAGACAGAAAAGTCATAACCCTTCAAATAATAAATGGAGATTCTAATTCTAAACAACAGGATAGCTGCCTAAGTGAAAAGCAGAGTTTTTCTGAGTAATTATGCAAAGGATTACTGTTTCCCACTGCTGTATTTATAAGGCCAGGAAAAGAGCTACTTCTGAAGCAGGGCTAATTTTCTAGAAGGAGAGAGGTGGTTTCTTAAATTGGCTGGGCAAAAGTTGAGTATAAAGCACATTCCCTGCCAACTTCAACCCCCATCACCAGGCCAATTCTCATCCTTTGGCAACAAACCCTCTTTTCAAAAATCCAGAGCAGCAGCAAGAAACATCTTGGACCTCAGACTTTGAGAGGAGGGAGTACAGCTTGTGTGCTGGAACAGCCAGAACAGCCATTGGAATGCAAAGAATCCAGGTCACACTGATGGTTGCTGTGATTAATGGCTCTAGTTGAAGTGCCAAGAATAACTTGGCCTCCTCAGGGGAACAGCAAAAAGCTTCCAAAGGAGGATCCGCCTCCTTTTCAATCTTAAAGGGACCACAGACTTATCTTCTTCCCAGCTTGTTTGAAGCACAGATACAAGGAATAGAACATTGCTATGCAAATGCAGAACTAGAGCAGGGGTCCTCAACCTTGGCAACTTTAAGACTTGTGGACTTCAACTCCCAGAATTCCTCAGCCAGCAAAGCTGGCTGAGGAATTCTGGGAGTTGAAGTCCACAAGTCTTAAAGTTGCCAAGGTTGAGGACCCCTGAACTAGAGATTATGCAGCAGTATACTATCAGAAGGGCACACGTGGAGTAGAAATACAGTTGAAATAGCAAAAGGTTTTCAAGAGGCTTACTTTGAGCAACAAGTTTTGCCATAGTCCCTTGGTTTCCGTCATGGTTTTCCTGTGCTCGGTTGGCCAATTGTTTGTTTGCAGACTCTAATCGCTCTATAACAAATGGAAAGAAAAGACAAGATTAGAACACATTTCAATGTTCAAATATTCATGGATTTCTAGAAGGGCACAGACAGTTATTTATCGCTTGCCAAAGGTGCTATTGTGCTAACATAGTTGGGGAGCACAGCTGCTAATAATGGCACAAATATTGCTTTAGAAATAAATGCTTTATTTCTTAGAAGTTTAATTAAGAACAATATTTCTCTGGATTCCAAGAGCTTTATAAGATTTACAGCCTGAAAAATAACTAGATAGCTTTTTGGAACCTTTCAAGCTAAATGATTCAGTTCAAAAGTGATTTTGAAAAACTATCAACATGCCATGAAGGTGTACTGCTCCCCTCACCTCTTGGTCACAACCTGCCTTTTAATTCCGATCACCATTAACCATTGTGCCAATGGGCAGTGATGGTCAACTCTTTTCCTCCAATGCATAAGCACAATCTTACCGCCAAAGAGGAAGAAAAGCCAGCTGCAGCAGCAGATGCACCAATCTGAGTCTCAGTGGCTACTGAATCAATGGCTGTAGCGATATGAACCTGAATACTTCCTAGCCGGATTGTGTTAAATGGTACATAGGGTGGTTGCAAAGTATCTGAGACCAGAAATTTCAAACACAACACACACCACCCAAATTTAGAATCTGACCTTTCCAAATTGCCTTACCTTTGAGATCTCGATTGAAGTCTTGCAACCTCCTCATTTCCCCATCCTTCTTGTTTCTCATGGTTTTCTCCAAGGCTTCTCGTTTTAATGATCCTTTCATTAGATTTTCATAATCTTCTGAAATTTGTTGAATTTCGCTTTCCAACTAAGTATGAAAACCAGAACATTTGGGTTAAAATATATCTGCATAATAAAATCCACAAATTACAGGTAGTCCTTGACTTACAATAGTTCATTTAGTGACCATTCAAAGTTACAACGGCACTGAAAAAAGTGACTTATGACCATTTCTCACACTTATGACTGTTGCAGTGTCCTGGGATCACATGATCCCCTTTTGCGACCTTCTGACAAGCAAAGTCAATGGGGAAGCCAGGTTCACTTAACAACCAGGTTACTAACTTAATAACTGCAGTGATTCACTTAACCGCTGTGGCAAGAAAGGTCGTACAATGGGGCAAAATTCAGTTAACAAATGTTTCACTTAGCAACGGAAATTTTGGGCTCAATTGTGGTCGTAAGCCAACGACTACCTGTATAGTAATGAGTATTTCCTCAACAACTGAACTTCAAAATTGCACTGGAATACAAATTAAACATTTCGTAATAATCAAAACTCACTATCTGAACATGAAATTGAATGCAGTAATCTTCAGTTCAAGAACCAAATATGCATGAGTTAGGAAAGCCAGCCTCTCACAACACATAACTGAACTGGAAACTGTAATAGTTAGACGTTTCTTGATGTTATCACTCTCTCAAGCCATTGTTTTCATAAATAGTTTATTCATGGGTCAGTCATCATTTCCAACATTTTCTATTACTAGACCAAAACACCTAGGCTGTGTACTGATGCTAAAATATTACTATAATGATTTTTTAATTAAAAATAGTATTTTATAAATATAGTGTTTATATTACATGTTGTGTGTATATATACAGTATATACAACACACAAGTGGTTATGATGAAATGTATAAAACTGTCATAAAAACCTTAGTGAGAAAACACATTAGTATTTAAAGCAATTTAAAAGCTTTAAGGAGGATTAAAATAATCATACAAAGGCTAAGTCAGCGTCACTGCCGCCTCCTTCAAGATAATTTAAATAAGCCAATTATGTTATTCTGGTTTCTCAAATTCCAATGTATCATTGCTCTTTTTTTTCATTTTACACCATTTACTATATTTCTCAGCCTGTATTGAGTTGGGTTTGACACCTGCTGGATAACAGCAACAATATTCATTACAAAAACTATAAACAAGCAATGGCGGTTGCATCTTTCTGCTATTCAAAGAAGTTGATAATATGAACCGGGCCAAAATGATCCTAAAGTTGTGAAGCAGTAGACAGTAAAATCATCACATTAGGTGTTTACAATTTATGAGTTAGAGGTCCCCAACCTTTTGGGCACCAGGGACCAGGTTCCATGGAGAGAGGTTTTTCTGCAGACCGGAGGGTGTGTGGTTTTGTGTGCTGCCTGCATCTCGTGGATGGGGCTCTGCTTCTTTATGCAGACTGGTTGCTGGCATGCCATGGCCCGGTACTGGTCCACAGACCGGGAGTTGGGGACCCCTGACCTAAATCATATTACACTGTTCTATTAGAATACTTCAGGATATGCTGTGGGGCTTTTTTATTCTCTTTTTTTTACACATCTGCCCTATTCTTCCTTAGTTCCAACTGGCATGCAGTTTCATGTTCCATTGTTACCACTTTACTACTTTGCAGGCCTGGCATATTCCCTCTGCAGCCCTGGCACGTGCCAGACCCTCCCCCAAATAACTCAATGGCTTCAAGAAGAGTATTCTCGCCCTTGGCTGAAGCTAGGCTGCCACAGCCTCTCCTTGTGTGTTTCTGCACAAAAGCTTCTGTGTCTTGCTCACCAAGAGCCCAGGAGGGAGGGCCAGATAACAAGAGAGCACAACTGTTAGCAGAAAAGGTGAACAGACTCTTTTCTCTCTCCACTCAACAACTGCTTCAACTTAAGATCAGTTGGGTCCTGTTAGCTTGTGCTCCACAGCTGTTTAAAAGGGAGGGGGAGTAATTGAAAAGTATTAAAGGAGATGGTTTTCAGGACAGCTGTTTCTGGGAAACCAAAGGCAAAAAGGAGAGCATCTGGGGAAATGTTGCTGAAAGCAAAGCACTATGATGAGCCCCTCTGCTCTTCCAGTGAAATCATGATTGTTCCAAACACAATGGCTGGATTCACAGGTAACTCCAAGCCCAAACAAATCACAGAGTAATAGAACAGGACAGAGGTAAGCAATCTTTTCAGTTTCCCTAGATCTCACAAAGGGCTCTTACATGATAGTTGTATGCAAGAAAGTACAACAAAGAACAATCTCACGAGAGACTGCATGAAAATTTGAGGCAAGATTTTGGAAGATCTCAGCACTATTATTTTAATTGTAGGGAAACAGTGGTGCTGGGGGGAGGGGGTTTAGTGGCTGTCATGTTGTTGATGCATAATTTTGTGCTGTCAGTTCAAGCTTATCTGAATTACCATGCCAGAACTTTATTTTGCTTTGCTTAGCAGAATGAGTGAACCCAGTTATTGGGATTTGTAAAGCATGATTTATGGCTAAGTGTCACACGTGAACAAAGTTACAGTGGCTTCTTCAATAAACTATGGAAACCGTAACTTAGTGTAACTTGTGCATTGCTATTTCAAAATGGACTTGATATGCTTTTTTTAAAAAAAATCAGGCAGATAATTATTAAAATTATCATACTTGATGACTTCAAGTAGCAGAAAATGCTGCGTATGTTTTTTTATTTAATTGCCCTCACTACTGGAATGGATAATCCTACCACTCATAACATGAGTACTTATTTGGGACACATAAATCAACTTTCACCACTGACCTTGCATGCCTTCATTGAAGTAAATAATATACTGAGATTAGAAAGACCAATTATTGGTCCTGATAAAATACTGTTTTTATGTACCATTTCTGGTTTCTGAACTCCAAAAGGCCTGCTTTGTGTACTTATGTGCAATGAACAATTATAACTATTGTATAACACAAACTTATAATGAGCAATTCCATCTAAATGGTGTGGGAATGTAACACCAATCAAACTTTAAAAATGGAAGCTGACATAATATAAAGCATATCATTTCTAGCATTTTCTTTATTTCCAAATAGGCATTCTGCAATGAAGGCCCCATAAAGATTCTTAAAAGACAAAAATGATGGATGGCTATTTCCAAATTCAGTGCTTTGTAATTATGCCAATCTGTTCAGAATACAAAAATCCAAAAGAAAATGGTGATGGTAATGAACATGCTGCTGCATCACATGAAAATTATTGCGAAATATTCTGCAATATGCTCTCAAAATTCCAAACATGCTTATTAACCTGAAAAGACCTGCTCTGGCCCATCAACCAAGTTTTCCTACAGTTGGATAACTTAAAACCAGATTCTCCACTCTTGCTGCCAAGATAGATGAGAGACAGTCAACAGATATCCTTTTCTCACACTGAATAAGGATTTAAATTTTATAAAGTTTAATTATGACTATGACTTTCTCCTTGACTGCAATCGTTTCATCTTCCATGACAAAATCTGTATTAGTCTGCATATATTTTGATTGGCTAAAGATAGGTTGGCTAAAGTAGAGCTATGCTTGGTCTTTACCTTTTGAATCCGGTTGGCCTTTTCATTGTAGCTCTCCAGTTCCCTCCGTAACAACTCATTTTCTCTTTGCAATGTCTCATTCTCTCTTAACAACTTCTTATTCTCCATCAACACAGCTTCTATTTGGGACAGGTGGTTACTAGCAGAAGCAGCCTGAGTTGCCATCAAAGCTGCCACGCCAGCTGAAGTGAGTGATCCCAGATGGTTATGGCAGAGAGCAGCCTGTTGTGGCAAGAAAGCTTGGGACATCGGAGTTTGCATCATCCTAAAAAATTAAAAGATGAAGAAATTAAAGATAAGTACTTTCTAAAAGGAAGGCCCCAGCCCTATATGTAGCAAAGCTCAAGTATCTGGGTCAGCCATATGGACAACTTAAACACCCTGGGCTTTAAAAACTCTACACCTTTAATATTTGTTAGCTGAACACTGTTTCGCTAACTAAACTAGGAGAGTTTTAGAACATAGAAGATTGGATTAAGATTTCCACATCTGATGCAAAAGTCTGGACAACCACTAGATGGTAATTAGGGTTTCTCTTTGCTACCCTTTGGTGTCATCCACATTTTTTCAGTCTAGATATGGTAGCCTAGAGTGGGTAAACCATTCAAGACTGCTTTAAATTCCAGTTATCCACTAATAAGATTGGCAGTGCAGCATTTTTGATTACTATTTGCATAAAGGCTCCTGATTTTGAGAAAAACATAAATCTGGTTTCATAAAGCATGGATTCCATAGTACAACCAATGCTATCCAGTTTATTATTTGCACTTTAATCCTTAATTCAGTGTTTTGTTCAACACTGCTATGCCATGCTTTCATTTTCTCCATTTTTTTAAAAAAAAACCCACCTCTGATTAGTCACGTTATGCTAAGCTATAAACCCACATTTACAAGCCACAGTGAGGTTTTTACATTGCATTAAGCCAAAATCATATCAAACATAGGTCTTTGTGCATTCTGTGAACCCTTTCCTCACTCAGTTTTCTATTGATTGCTGTAACTCCACAGTAAAGTTTCATAAATATTTAATTGAAATTAATGGCTACCATGATCCCACTTGACTAACTCCAAGATCCATTAAATTCTAGAATGTTCAAATGTATAAACAAACAAGTTAGGTTTAGAGTTCTCTCTCCTCCCGCTCTTATGATTGAACTGCTATGCAGGTAGCAGAAAATTGAAATTCGTAGAATTCAACATGGATGCCATTCTTATGCACAAAGGGGAAAGTAGTTCCTGAGAAGACATAGCCTCATCTGACTAAGGCTCCTTTCTTTGATGCAGAGTTATTCAGACATTCTTGTGAAGTGATCCTAGAGCAAATAAGAATATATACATCTTCCTTTTAGCACACAATTGCCCCCCACCTTCTTTTGTTCCCAGGAAAGAACCAATTTCCTGCCTCCAGCATTATCTCTTCCTGCCAGTATTCGCTAGAGGTTGTCTCCAGCCAGAAAATATGTTTCAATTCCCCCTTCATTCTCAGCAAGTCACAATGGTGGCAGGCAGTTGTGAAAGTACTTGTAAATGCCACTCAAAACCAGCTGTAAAACTCTGATATTCTAAGCAAATAGGAATGTTCTTTATGGGCCAATTTCAAAAAACAAGCAATGTCCAAGATTGGCCCTCAGCATTCTCAGCCATTGGTTGCTGCACAATTCATGAACTTAGGAAGAGAATTACATGCTAAAGAGATAGGATGTTCAGATAAGCTTCCTAAGTTACACAAGAGGTTTAACTCTGATTCTTCCACTACCATTTTTGTAAGAGTGAACTGGGTGATGAAATGGAATCCTGAACTATCCCCTCCCAAAGCAGAATCAAATGGCCTTTGTGCCTCTTTTATAAAGCTTGGAAGAATAAGGCATGTCTGCTATAACTCGTTTACATTTCCCCATACTATCTGAACTAGTTGCTTCTTTATCTTTGGACAACAGTGGATGCCAATTCTTTCTCACATTGTTCATGGAAGTTGTGCGCCCAATCTGCCCTAACATTAACAGAATCTCTCTACAAAGCCAAAAGAAACAAACACAAATCAAATATAAATCTTCTTTCACAAGGAAAAGTAAAATTGAGGGAAGAGGAGGAGCTAAAATTGAAACAGGATACAAGAGTTTAATTCCACACATCTCCACTTAGGGTAATAACCACCCATGGTAATTTCTCTTTGGGGAAAAAAGGTGCTTTCTGACAAGATGGAAAGGACTAGGTTTAAGTCAAATTAATGACTAACTAGAACACAACCCTTTGAAAAGTACCCTGTGAAATTCCAACTTTCAGCATAAGCAAAGTAATATAAAGCTAATACCAAGTTACCTGACTTCAGGATGTTGAAATCCTGGACCTTCTCTGTAGTGCTGCCTGGGGTCAGAAAGGTAACCTTCTGGTGCCTCCTGTGAAGGGATTATATAAGGATATTCTGGAGGAGGAGCACGGGACTCTGATGCTTCAGAGGACTTTCCTCTAGAGAGACAGAGTTGGTGGTGCCTGGACAGTTGAGGGTAGCTGTGAGAGGAACTCATGTGGTTCTGTGCTTGAGTTCCATTCCTTTCCAGGGACACCTGCAGGAGCTGCTCACTGAGTGACCGTACATGACCATGAGTCAGCTCTTTCAGTGACTCATCCTGCGGTTTGCTGTTAATGTCAGAAGCATAGGTCCTGCGCTGTCCTCCTTCTATAGGTGCTCCAGACAAGGTGGCCCCAACATGTTGTCCTGTGGCATAATACTGAGACTGAGCTTTGGCCTCCTCGTAGGTGGGAAGCTCTTCTCCCTTATGCTGAGGATGGTAGAACCGGCACATGTTATTCTCCAGGTAGAGGTGGTCTGCATGGTGCTCCTGGCCCTGGGGTTCTTGTCGTGTTGATTGCTGAACCATTTGGCTCTCATCCTGTGTGAGACTCTCAAGGGAGGACTGTGGGCTCCCACTGCTTCCTCCTCCTCGTAAGGCCTGCTGCTGTATGGCTAGGAGTGTACGATTCTCAGTAAGATTGCCATACCTCAGCTGCTCTTGGATCAGGCGGTGAAGGACAGTTCCAGAGGACTCCTCAGCTGTCCTCATTCTCAGCTAACTGGTTTGTTCCTAGCGCTTTCTGAATGCACCAAAACAGCAAACAAAACAAAATCTGTTTCTGGAAAACTAACAGCCACTGTCCAGCCAAATGACCCTGCAGAGGGAGAAAAAAAAAGTCATGAGGTTGCATAGTGCAATAAATTCATTGAACAAGACCACTACATTCCAATTCTGTATCTTTTTGAACAGTCTTTTGCAAGGTGGTGTTTTCCAGACATCCTTGACCATAATTCCCGTCACTCCCAGCCAATATGGACAACACTCAACGCAGCTGATTGGATCTGTAGCCCAATAAATGTGGAAGGGCCAGACTATGGGAGGCAATCTGTAGAACAATTGCTTTCGAGAAAGAGACCCAATGTAGAAGTTTCTCAAAGGCTTTCTAGCGTATGGCCACAAGGATATAATGAGAAAATATATTAACATGTGTACATTTGTTGGATTTTATTCAATTCATTCATTTAGATTTGCTGTGAGCCAGTCCAAAGGCTTACATTGAAAATAAAGTGCACATTTTAAGTGGAGCCTACTTTCAGGGATTCTTATACATTCTCTATATAAGGTCTGCTTCCTGTGTTTTTGATCAGGGCTTTTCAACCTTTTCATCCATTGTACCACTTTTAGGATATGGCAACATCCGAGTACCACCAGTCGCCTAGCAAGGTGTCAAAAACTTGGTGCCCCCCCCCAAAAAGGAAAAAAGTGATAAAGTAGACGTAGTCCTCGACTTACAACAGTTCGCTTAGTGACTGTTCAAAGTTACAATGGCACTGAAAAAAGTGCACCCCAAGTCACAGCCGAGCAAGACACCTGCCTGCCCACCCGGCAGCGTTCTTCCTGCTGTCCGAGGTTTTCATTGTTGTGAGCATTTCTGTTGAGGATTGGCAGCGGGGGTGAGGTGGGGGGGGTGTTTGGTTTTTATTCCCCCCATCTGCTGGGTGGTTGCAGCACGTTTTGGTCACTTCATATGACCCTGGGACACTGTGACCGTCATAAATATGAATCAGTTGCCAAGCATCTGAATGTAAATCACAAGACCTTGGAGATGCTGCAACATTCCAGCTGATCGGCACTTCTTCTGGGCTCAGCAGAAGCGCTAGGATCAGTGTCGAGCTCCAATTGGAACCTGGCGCTGATCCTGGCGCTTCCACTGAGCCCTGACAGCCCTGCAGCTCCAGCCATCTCTCGCTCAGGCTTGTGCAGTGCTGCCACCGGTTCAGCTCATTCCCCTCCCCCGCTACCACTTTTCTAGGATGGTCATGTACCACCTGCCGGAGTCAATGTACCACAGGTGGTACCTGTACCACTGGTTGAAAAGCTCTGTTTTTGATTCAGAAGCACATCTTTCTAATTTTAATTTTAATAAAGTGTCCTGCTCAGGCAAGAAACCCTATATCATTTCAGACACATGGTTGTCCAGTCTCTTCTTAAAAACTTCCACTGTTGGAGCATTCACAGCTTCTAGAGGCATTTTGTGGAAGTGTGAAGCAAAAAATTAATTGGATTTCACAGTGCATGTGGAAGTGATCTTTTAAAATGTTGTTTTTCCATGCAACAATCATATGAAATAGGCTGTGGGTGATTAGGCCAATAAATACCATCAGGAACTGAAGCCCCACTTCCTCAACCTTCACCATATCCGATATTTTGCCCAATAAATCAGTTGCACTAAATCTGAAACAATGTTTAACTATAAAAAATGGAGCTTGCTGACATTCTCCAGGAATGTCTCAGAGGTTATCTGGATAGCCCTATTAAAACAAGATACAACTCAAGTAGTAAAATTCTTGGTGAGTGCTAGCCACTTAGTTAGCTTTGGAAAACCTTCCTCAGTTCACAAGGGCTATTTAATCTCATTCCAGTAAGTAGCTAAAATCCTTTTCTTTGCATATGATTTTATTCTAATCCAAGATGAAAAGCAAAACAAAAACTGTACAAGATCTGATTAAATGTTCATATCATTTAAATAAAAGATGTCAAAAATAAGACAATATTGATGTTGCACAGTAGTCAAAGTTGATTTCTACAAGAGAACCACAGCTGAAAATTAACCCTAATCTCCGATTTAGAGCCCTGCCTTTGGGTGGAATTAGAGAAAGGAAATCTGCATATGCCTAAAGGCACTGTCTTTAGCCAGATTTTATATTCTGCAATGCTGGTGTGCTAAAGAATAAGGGAACCATACAAAAGGCAAAATAGGTAACCATAATTAAACTATTTGGAAATAAGTGCTATTCTGGGGAAACAAATAGGAGTCAACGAATTGGAGTGAGTGAGGCTGAACGCTTCATTTTATAAAATTATGCTAACAGAACTATCATCTTGTTTAAAAATGATTTTTGAAAGGAATGGACTGTCTGATCGGCACCACTGCATTTCTTTTGCAGATTTATTAATCGTTACTCTTCAGAAAAGAGATTTGAAACGTAGGGCATTCTGAAACAAGAAACATTTCTTGCAAAGCTTCCCAGAAAAAATATCTGACACGAGTTTTACTAAAGCAACACATTCCTGAGAAATATTTGCAGCAAGCCAAGGAGAAAAATTAAATGCTCCGTGAATCTTCACAACGTACGCACTAACAGCCCAAAGAAAGGAAAGTTCCGACTCATCGCCCTGCAAATAGGCTGATCCAAGGAGCAGACCCGTAACTTCAGTCTTAGGTTGCAATCCCAAGTATGCTTTCCTCAACACCTCGCTTTTCCCTCCTCAAAAGCTTCTTATTATTAACCCATCACTGAACCCTCTGCCAATTTCCCTAGAAATGGCTAAAAGCAGAGAGTGGAGAGGAAATGGCGAAGGTTTGGCTTCTACCTCTCCTCCCTTCCCAGTCCAAACGCCACGGAGAGAGAGAGAGCGCTCAGTCGCCGCGCACTCAGCAGATTGCCATCTGCGCCGTCTTTCGAGTTTCCCTGCCCGCTCTTTGTTTTCCAAATAGCTCTGCGCTGACATCATAGGGGTTTGGATTGCAATTAACATTCCTGCTAAGTGAGAACGCGAAGCATCGGGCAGCGGCAGGCAAGACAAAGCCAAGGCTACCGCTCGCGGGCTAGAACTCTCCCAGCACCTGCATTGCCAGCAAACCGCTCCTACCCACCCACCTACCCACCCCACCCCCGTGGCAAAGAACAGCAGCTTATACTGCTACGCTCCCCACCAAAAGAAGATTTCGAAACGTTAGCATTTGTCATTTTGCAAGCCAGTGGAGCAACTGCACAGGGAACGGAGGGCCATTGAGTAAAGTTGCAGGGAAAGCGAACGGGCCAAAGGGGTTATACCGGTAAAGATGCCTAAGGGAGATTTTTAGGCCGCGAGATAAAAGAAAAAAAGAAAAAAAGCAATAAGCAACGCTTTGGGCTCGCCGCTCTGCTCCGGCCACCAATTCCCTGAATGAGCAAAACGGCCATAATTCCTAAAAGGGGTGTCCGACCTGGAAGGGGCATCGCTTTACCCGACGCTCCAGCGAGAAGCAGGGAGAAAAGAGTCCCTGGCTTGGAGCCGCTCTCCTGCAAGCCGCGCGGCATATGTCACGCGCGTCTCTTGCCCCTGCGGACCAAGCCTCCAACGGCGTGAAAACTTACCCAACCATAGCAGCCGGAGTGGCCCGGTGACTCTGCCGCACGATTTGGTATCTTTCCTGGCTGCGGAGCGCCGGAGAGAAAAGGTCCGTTCGAGCCCGGCCAGCGGAACCGCTCGTGCTGCTGTCCCGGGCAACTGAGGGAATGTAAGCCTCTCTCTCTTTCTCTCTCTGTATGTGTGTACGTGCGTGCATGGAAGCCTAGCTTCCTTGCCCAGAAGTGCCTGCCTGCCTGCGTCCGCCCCTGCTGGAAGGAAGGCGACTGCGCGCAGGGCCTGCCTCCTCCAGCTGCAAGTAGAGCCGAGCAGAAAGAGGCTGGGCCGCGCAAGAGGCTGATGCTATGTCAGGAATGCAAGAGTTTTCAGGTTCCCCACTGGGATCAAAGTAGGCAGTTCGTTTTTAAAGAGCTTTGCCGTTGCAGTTGTGTTCGGAGCCAAAGGCCGGAAGAGGGCGTGCTCCAGCTTCCCCAAGTCTCACAATACAGGCGCTGCCTAAATTCAGCAAATTCGATTTATGGCTGCCTCGGTCTTTGGCTTCCATTTATTAGAGGCGCTTTCCTAAGCCCCAATGGCTCGGCAGTGGAGAGTTGCTGCTTTGAAGGGCACCGAAAAACTTAATTTGGCTAAAATGGGGAAAAAAAAGGCAAGAATGGACCTTGTGGATTTAAGGAGGGTCGCACATCATCAGCTTTCCCATAAATAAAAGCTCCTGTATTAGGTTATATAAAAAAAAGGGCTCAGCTATTCTCCTTCCTACCGGTATGTGTCCTGAAATGAGATGAGTCTGTTTGGAATGTATTCTTAATCTTTCTGCAAAAGTATCAGGTCAGAACTGGGCTCCAGGCAAGTGCTTCCCCAATTTCAGCCACTCTTTCCCGTATAAAATATGGGTGCAGGGACTTTCCAAGGAAAGGCCAAGCAGGAAAATTCTACAGTGAAACATAGGTGATTTCCTAGAAACTGAAATAAGTAAATGATATACAATGTAACTTCAATTTCTTCCTCCACCCAAAGGCTAATGAGACCAGAGTGTAAAAGCACCTATCTGTAACATCAGTTGCACACTCAGTTTGACAACCCTGAATTTCTCACTGTGTGTTAGTGCGGTTTTAGAGTTGGTATTTGGGAGGTTTAGCTCAGACAGACACATCTATGAATCCAGGTAGCTTGTTCATTTTGCAGTTTGCTTGGCAAGCCTTGTCTTAATCCCAAATACATTTGTCATAATCCCAAAGGAGAAGGAAGTCATATTCTTAATAATGAAGATCTTGGCCAAAGAGCTTTGGGATCACTGGCAGTTCAGGAATCAAATAGAAATAGCTTGACTATTCAGGACCTTCTGACATGCAAAATATTTGGCAACTCCACTTACATGCAGCACAGACACGTGATGCCATTATTAAAATGATTTCTGTATAGTTAAAAGAGAATTAAGGACATGGGAAAAGAAAATATACATGGTTCCAATCACAT